CCTGATGGCTCTGGGCGCTAACTTTCACCAGTGGCTACGGATGAAGTCACAGGCGATTTTCAGCCAGCGCCGGCAATTATCTTTGTATTTCTACAGTAATGGTCTCATATATATTTGTCCTTAAGGGACTGAGTTTGTTCACTTAGCGTAATGCTCTCCAGTCCCTCCCAAGTTATGTAGTAATTTTCTAAATCACTGCTCCTGCATGCTGTGTAATATTCCATTGTGTGAATGTACCACAGTTTCTCAATCCCTTTTATTGTGATTGAACATTTGGGCTGTTTCCATATTCTTGTGATGGTGAATAATGCTGCTATGAACATTGTTGTACAAATGTTCATCTGTGTCTCAGTATTAATATTCTAAGGGTATATTCCAAGCAGTGGAATAGCTGTCATGTGGAATTTCTATGTTGAGCTTTTTGAGGAAGTACCAAACTGCCTTCGTAGTGGTTGTACCATTTTACAATCCTATCAACAATGTATGAGAGTTTCCGTCTCACCACGTCCTCTCCAACATTTATTGTTTGCTGTCCTGTTAAACTTTTGTCTCTACTGCTGAGGTAAGATGGTATTTCTTTGTAGTTTTGATTTGCATCTCTCTTATTGCCACTGATTTTGAGAATTTCTTCATGTGTCTGTTGGCCATTTTAATATCTTCCTCTGTGAAAATTCTTTTCGTGTCTTTTGTGCATTTTGTAATTGTGTTATCGGTCTTTTCCTTCTGGAGGCCCTGTAAGATTCTGTAAAATTTTGTTATATGACCCTTGTCTGACATGATATTTACCAAAGGTGTTTTTCCAGTCGGTAGGCTTTTCTTTTCACCTTGTTGGGAAAGTCATTGATGTGCATGGGGATTTAATCTTATTTGTTAGCCTTTTTATGCCATGCACTAAGCCTTCTATGCTTGGTCTAACTTTGTCTCTTGTGATATTTATGATTTGGGGCTTTACCCCTAGGTAAATCACCTGGCATTGATTTTTATTTATGGTGAGAGGTGTGCATCCTGCTTCAGCTTTCTGCAGGTTGCTGTCCGGTTTTGCCAGCACCATTTGTTGAAGAGGTTGTCATTTCCCCATTTGAGAGGTTTTTTTTCCCCTGTCAGATATCTCTTGGCCATAGATAGATGGATTAATTTCAGGGTTCTCGATTCTGGTCTTTGTGCTTGTCATTGTACCAGTGCCATGCTGTTTTGGTTATTACAACTGTGTAGTAGCTTTGAGATCAGGGAGTGTCTCTCACTTCATTTTTGTTTTTCAGAAGTGTGTTTGTTCTTTATTTCTTTTTTTTTAGTTAGAGGTTTCTTTCCTCTCTAAATAAACTTGTCAATTACCTTTTCTATCTCTTTGAAATATTAATTTGGTCTATGTATTGAGATTCCATTAAACTTTTCAATTGCTTATGATAGGATTGCCATTTTCACAATATTGAATCTTCCTATCCATGAACAAGGAACATTTTCCCACTCATATAGATCTTTTAGTGTTTCTTGTAGAAGTATTTTGTATGAACAGGGAAAGATCCGTTTTGAAAAACAACATATACAAATTTTAAGAACTTTGTATGTAAGCCAGTAAACATAAAACAATTTTAGGCTGCTGCTGCTGAACTGCGGAGCCCGTGGTCCTGTCGCCAAGATGCCGGAGGAGACGCAGCCCCGCGACCAGCCGATGGAGGAGGAGGTGGAGACGTTCGCCTTCCAGGCCGAGATCGCGCAGCTCATGTCGCTGATCATCAACACCTTCTACTCGAACAGAGAGATCTTCCTGCGGGAGCTCATCTCCAACTCCTCGGACGGACGCGCTCGACAAGATCCGCTACAAGAGCATGACGGACCCCAGCAAGCTGGACTCGGGCAAGGAGCTGCACATCAACCTGATCCCCAACAAGCAGGACTGCACGCTGACCATCGTGGACACAGGCATCGGCATGATCAAGGCCGACCTGATCAACAACCTGGGCACCATCGCCAAGTCGGGCACCAAGGCCTTCATGGAAGCACTGCAGGCCGGGGCCGACATCTCCATGATCGGGCAGTTCGGTGTGGGCTTCTACTTGGCCTACCTGGTCGCTGAGAAGGTGACTGTGATCACCAAGCACAACGACGACGAGCAGTACGCCTGGGAGTCCTCTGCCAGCGGCTCCTTCACCGTCAGGACCGACACAGGTGAACCTATGGGTCGTGGAACAAAGGTTATTCTGCATCTGAAGGAGGACCAGACTGAGTACTTGGAGGAAAGGAGAATGAAGGATATTGTGAAGAAGCACTCTCAGTTTATCGGCTATCCGATTACTCTGTTTGTGGAGAAAGAGCGAGACAAAGAAGTGAGTGATGACGAGGCTGAGGAGAAGGAAGATAAAGAGGAGGAAAAAGAGAAGGAAGAGAAGGAGGCCGACGACAAGCCCGAGATCGAGGATGTGGGTTCAGATGAGGAGGAGGAGGAGAAGAAGGACGACGGGGACAAGAAGAAGAAGGAGAAGATCAAGGAGAAGTACATCGACCAGGAGGTGCTCAACAAAACCAAGCCGATCTGGACCAGGAATCCCGACGTCATCACCAACGAAGAGTATGGCGAGTTCTACAAGAGCTTGACCAACGACTGGGAAGACCACCTGGCTGTCAAGCATTTCTCCGTTGAAGGGCAGTTAGAGTTCCGCGCCCTTCTCTTTGTCCCGCGACGGGCTCCCTTTGACCTATTTGAAAACAGGAAGAAGAAGAACAACATTAAGCTGTACGCCCGCAGGGTTTTCATCATGGATAACTGTGAGGAGCTGATCCCAGAGTACCTCAATTTCATCAGAGGCATGGTGGATTCTGAGGATCTTTCGCTGAATATTTCCCGTGAGATGTTGCAGTAGAGCAAAATTTTGAAAGTTATCAGGAAGAATTTGGTGAAGAAGTGCCTGGAGCTCTTCACTGAACTGGCAGAGGACAAGGAGAACTACAAAAAGTTTTATGAGCAGTTCTCCAAGAACATTAAGCTTGGAATACATGAAGATTCCCAAAACCGGAAGAAGCTTTCAGAGCTGTTGAGATACTACACGTCTGCCTCTGGTGATGAGATGGTGGCCCTCAAGAACTACTGCACCCAGATAAAGGAGAACCAGAAGCACATCTACTACATCACTGGTGAAACCAAGGACCAGGTGGCCAACTCTGCTTTCGTGGAGCGCCTGCGGAAGCACGGCCTGGAGGCCCATCGATGGAGTACTGTGTGCAGCAGCTCAAGGAATTTGAGGGGAAGACTTTAGTATCAGTCACCAAAGAGGGCTTGGAGCTTCCTGAAGATGAGGAAGAGAAGAAGAAGCAGGAGGAGAAGAAAACCAAGTTTGAAAACCTCTGCAAAATTATGAAAGACATCTTGGAGAAAAAAGTTGAAAAGGTGGTGGTGTCCAACCGCCTGGTCACATCTCCATGCTGCATTGTCACCAGCACATACGGCTGGACGGCAAACATGGAGCGAATCATGAAGGCGCAGGCCCTGAGGGACAACTCGACCATGGGCTACATGGCGGCCAAGAAGCA